TATAAAATAGTATAAGGCTCAAGATAAAACTATATAGCGTTACAAAAACATTTGAAACTTAATTGCATGTGGCAAGGTGAATAACTTTTATCTACTGTGAGGAACTGGCTCTAAAGTATAAAATCAAACCTAAATCACTCTTGAATATCTAGTGGTTTAGTTGTTGGCAAACACAAAAAGTGAAATGATCGCTTAAAGCCATAATCTAAGTTGTATTTCCAACTATTAGCATGCCGAAATAGTCAAGTTAAAACTTGGTTCTTTGACTTAGAAAGTTGAGAGTAATAGTGGAACTCCCAATGAAGTGCTTAAGGAATAAGCTCAAAGCAATCAATAAATGAATCTCTAGACATATCTCAAATTTCAAAGCATTTAGTGGTTTAAAGCCAATAAATGAGCATTCTATCCTCATCCTGATGAATGCACTCATTCAAGTGAAGCATATTATAAAGGAGGTGATATCATCCTCAAGATGATAAACTTCCATTAGCTTCGTCGTTATTTATGCTTACTTGAGCTTTTGCTAAATATGTTGTTGGAAGAGAGATGGCTTGTTAGCAAAGCTTATAAGTTAATTCAATGTTTGTGAAGCTAGTTGGAGAAACTGTCAAAAATCCAAGCTTACCTTCATCAACTTTAAGTCCTCAACTAACGATTATAATTAGTATTGCAGCAAAGCATAAGACAACTCTATCTATGGGATTGTACATCTTCCACACCAAGTTGTCAAGAGAGATTGTGGCTCTAGCTTTATTATTACCTCCAAAGAAACTATAGTTATTAACACCTCATCTTTGTACACTACATTTATTTGTTTTATTAGGATTGGTTGAGTAGTCACTTCCTTTTCTAGAGCTTGTTTGCTCATTATCACAACATAAAAAACATTTGAAAAAGTCATTACATCCACTTAACTATCCAAGGGGGCTTAAGAATTGTGATCTACCATCATAAACTCCATAGCATCCCGAAATTCACTAGAGATCATTCTCATCTTAACTTTGGTAGCCATTGATAGAACTAACCCTTATCATATAATTCTAACCCTATTGTCTAGTTAAACCTTCTCCAACATCCAAAAGCTAAAGAAAGTTTTTTAAACCATAATTGTTATCCTTCAACAACATCATTGCCTAGTCAATATATTTGTCTAAGAAATTCCTAAGAGTGAAAAAGAAGCTAACCAAGTTGATATTATTGACAATGCTTTTCTCCTTGATGTCTTGTAAAGCTTGCAGCTACTGTGAAAATAATGCACCACTATCTAATAAGTCGACTAAGCAAACATCTTCTAACAATAACATTTATTGGAAAATTTGTTGTTATGGATCTAGAACCAACTATTGAAACTATCCAGAACATGCTAGATAGTCCCTCTTAAACCAACATTAATCCCTCTTATATCCAAATGCCTATAAAAGTTATTTTGTCTTTTCAGTTGAAGCATTACTATTTCTTGCTAGTACAAGCTTTGTAAAGGAGCATTGTTGTATTTCTAACCATGGTCCTTTTGCTATATAACTCTTTCCTATCATTGAGATTTAGGATTTTCTTGAGAGAAGTAGTTGTTGTTAAGATGTATTTATTGCTAGCTAGGATTCTTTAGCTAATCCAACCTCTTATTGATTTTTATGGACTTTAGGAAAGTGCCTAACACATTTGTAAGGAGTTGAATGAATAGATATTTAATCTCTAACTAGTAGTAATGGTTGTGATTGTGTAATGTGGTAATTCTCCTCATATGTCATTGCTCTTTATTCCAACAACCTTTTATGTTTAGCTTGCATCACTTGCTCTATAATTTGATTTATGGTATCTAGACCATTCTCTCAAACTTTTTTCCCAAGTGCCGAATTTAAGAGAATTAATATTAATGACTCAAGCATTAGTGCAATTAACACTTGACAACTCACACTTGCAAAGATACTCCTTGAAGTAATTATTATATTTATAGATGGGTTCCTTAGTTTGCATCTTATATGCACCTAACTATACCATCATATAGTCTTATGTGAAAATTGGCTCAAAATGCTCTAAAACCAAATCTCTAAAACTATGAAACTCCATTGCTCTATTGTCAATAACAAATCCACCTAACATTTGATCTTTGCATTGTGATAAAGAAATATTATACCTATAACAAAGGATTTGTAAAATTGAGCATTTGGAGGTGAACTTGGGCATCTTTTTAGCCAAAATTGTAGCACTATATGAATTAATCACCATACTAAACATCTTTTGCACTTGTTCTAGTTTTAACTCCTCAAAAATCATATGCTTTAGTATTGAATCATCAGGTGGCAAAAGATTTAGGTGACAAAAGATGTAATGAAACTCTTTTGTCTGAGTGTGCTTTAATATTTTGAGCCAAATAAAAAACTAAAATCCAAAATCCAAAACAATGACATTATGGGAATGGACGTGCAAGAAGATGTGGAAGTGGACGTGATTCTTCGTCGCAGTGAGCCATACAGCCTGGAGCAGCAGCCACACAAGCGTGTGCAAGACTACATCACCAAGCTTCAGTGCAAAGTGGTGAAGATTCGACTGCTGGACCCAGAAGCTGCTGTGACAGATCAAGAGTTTAATGCAGTTCTGTTCAAGGGGTTTGCAACTCGTGCTATGAAGTCTCATCTTCATTATATCAAGAAGATTCCCGACATTACACAGCAGCAGATTTTTGTTGAGCTCGTCCAGCACGAGAAAACCGTTATAGGTGAAGGCAATGCTACTGAGCAGGACGGGATTGCCATGGTGACTCCAAGCACAAGCAGGGCGCTCCTCTGTCTTTAATCGACTTGGAAATAAGCATACAGCCACCTGGCTTGAGTCGCATTCCTTCTTAGTTTTCTTTCCCATCCTATGTGAGATCCATCCCAGGGGATTGTTTGGGGAGTGTTCTCATTCTCTATAGAGCGCTAGGCCGTGAGGCCTGGCTTCTCTCATCAGCGAAGCTGCAAGAGGAGCACGACGATTCAGCTCACGGGAGAGAGCTTTCGCAGCAGCCCCCTCGTCAAGATCACCCGGCCACAAAACAGGCCTTTAACGTCCCACTTGAGAGGAAGCAGCGGGCAGAATCCCAGCGCATCCAGCTGCAGCAGCCTACCGTCCCGCGCTTGCTCCCAACCGATCAGCGCATTCAGGTTGCCAGAGTCTCCTGCGCTTGGCTGCGCGCCCACACAGAAGAGGGAAAAGCGGCAGTCAAAACTCGCCCTGCTCGCTCCGCCAGAACTTGCCGTTCTCAACTGGGAGTCCCGCATGTTCACAGCCGTGGGATCTTCCAGGTGAGATCCGCCAGATCTCAGCCGTCCATAGGAGTACAGATCGACGGCGGGAACCATGCACAGAGTCTTGGCAAAGATTTCACTTATTTTGGACGGCCCGGATCTCACGATCGGACGGCCCAGGAGGCCCGGTGGAGCGTTTTATTATATGAATTATCACATTTTATAGAAAACGTGGTACCTATATATTAAGAGTAGAATATGAGTTTCATGGCTTGAAGCATTCCCAGAGCCTCAGCAGATGAGCTTCGTAGACTGCAATGTTCCCACCAGGTTCAGATCCAACTGAGCTTGTTAATGCGTAGCCCTGAACGTTCCTGAACTCTCCTGTGCCCCCAACAATAGCGATTTCCCTTTGAGACTCAGTGAATGGGTTCTGACCATGGAACACTATTGTACCTTTCCGCCCTTCCAGCTCCACCGTCATGCTCTGGAGAAAGCTGCTGCTGCTCAGTGAATCTAACACCAGAAAACCCTTGGCTCTTCCCACAAGCTTGGAGTTGATCGGGGACTCTTTAGTCAGCTTGTCATCTATGATCGCAACCTGACCAAACAACGTTTCGTTGTTGAGAGGAGGCAGGACGACTGCTGAAGTCCGATTGCTCCCGGTGAACTGGTCGTGCAAGTAGAACCGGATCACCTCGGTGCACTTTGATAGATCCAATCTTCCCGGCTTTGGGAAGCTCGATTCTGCAGGAGCAATTGCAAAAACCAGAGCTAGAACGAGTGAAATGAAGATCTTCATTGCAGAGCTGTGTGTCCACTACTGCAGCACTAGAACTCGATTTATGTGTTTGAAGAACCTCGGCAACTTGGTGTTTTATAAGTCCACGTTCGAACATCAATCGGGCAAGGTATATGGTAGAATATGCACTTAATAAACCACCACAATAGCATGTTCTACCACGGCAGGATATACTGTATACATGGTGGAATAAGGCACCATGGGGAGGACCATTCCCAACGGAAGAATATACCTAGAACATGTCAAGCTTCGGCTCCAAGATTGCTTCCAACGCAGCAGCAGGAGAATTTCACTGGAGCTTTGATCGAAGCGAGAGCACAGGCTCCTGTGCGCAAGAACTGGAGGCAACAAAATGATGAAAATATGCCTCCCTTGGCTTCTTCTTTTTCTTGTTCCTCTTCTTCTTCCTTGTCCAGGTGCAGTAGCAGCAAGTGTTGCAGCCCTATGCGGGTGCCTTTGGCAAAATGTAGGTTGAATGAGGTGCAGGAAGGTCAAGATCGTCGTCTCAGGTGCAAGCTCGATTGGGACCGTCTGCCGCTTGAGACAGACACAGGAGTGAAGGTAAGGATGTGTTCTCTGTTTTTCTGTTGATGTTATTCTATCTTTTTTCTTTAGGTTGTACTGAGAGTAAGGCCATTGATCAGCGAAGAGCAGGAAGAAGCAGCAGCCAGAAGCAGCAGCCAGAAGCTTGTTTGTAGTATCCTCAAATTCTGTTACGCTGGAGCATCAGCAATTCACGTGCGATGGAGTTGCTGGGGAAAACTCAACACAGGCAAGCAAGCACATTTAGCGAGTTGTATGACCATTAACCATGGCTCTATAGCAACATGTTTTCGACATGGTAGGCTCGCCTATGGTGGCGCACTGTCTGGATGGCTTTAATTGCTCTATGTTCGCCTTCGGTCAGGTATTTCAGACTCGCAACCTGGATCATAAAATATGAGCATTTTCATCTCTTGCAGACGGGAAGCGGGAAACCTTACACAATGTGGGGAAGCATTCCTAAATCAGGTTCCCTGAGTGATGAGGCTGGGCTTGCACCCAGATTCTTCAAGGCGCTCTTCCTGCGGATTGAACAAGTAAAGACTGTCGACCATAACTACTTGTAGCAATTAAAATTGACGTACTTCCACAGAAACAACGCACCTCCAGCCGGCAGGAAGTGCAATATCAATGCAGATTTACAACGAACAAATCAGGGATCTAGTAGAACCGGCAACCAAGAACCTTCAGGTAGTTTCTAATTTTTTTGAAGAATTAAGTCATGTTATGAACAGATTAGATAAACTGGCAGTGGCCCTCCTGGTGCACTCGCCGAGTGATTTAATTGCGCGGATCAGGTCTCAGAAATTTTGAGTGACTGAGAGTGTGGGTATTTCAGAACTAGAAGAGTCACTGAAATGCTATAGCAAGAATTATCGGTGGTTCGCATTCGATGGTGGTTTCTTCGCCCTAGGACTCTTAATACATAATAATTAAATAAAGCATATTCATTTTTTAATGGTCTAGGGTTCTGAGTTTATGAAATAGTAAAATATGAGTTTCATGGCTTGAAGCAACAAACAACGCTGTAGAGCAGCGGTAGTTGATAGATATGGCCGTTGAGGATATAGTCTTTTACTTGTGGAGGACAAAGAGAATGGCCTACTCCAGTCATCTTCCTGCCACAGCACAAAACGAAGAGAAATTTCTTGCGAAGAAGGAAGAAAAAGGAGCTTGATTCTTACGAGAGCTGGGTCATGTCGAGGGGATAGACGGAGCGCATTTCATTGGAGCAAGAGCAAGAGGACAAGCTCTGATAGTGGCTCCCTGCAACGATTCCAGACGTGGACAGGGGATGTACTTGCTAAAGGTGGTCTCGAGTTGGAGTATTTCGTCGCAAACACGCTAATCTCAAGAAATGCCAAGTAGGAGACGAGCAAATGAAAGTCAGGCCTCGACTCCACCAAGTACATTCCCTGTCCACGTCTGGAATCGTTGCAGGGACTATAAGGGTTCATAGTCTTCGAAAACCAACTAGGCAGCAAAAAGGGATTCGTTTTCACGTGTTAGAATCGGCCGTGGAAGCTCAATCGTCTCGTGCGGGAGCAGCAGCCGGTTTACAACCGAGCGAGTCCTCAAACCATAAGAGGCGTTCCTCCTCCCGCAATGGTGTAGTCAAAGGAGTTCCATTTGAGCTGGTTCGCTCTTCGGCGTGAGGACAAACCTCGATTCTGGACTGATTGCTGGATAACAAGAAAACAATTGAGCTACAACTCAAAAAAAAAAAAAATTGATTTAAATCTGTTGACAACGCTCAAAAAGATGAAATCTAGCCAGAAAAATTCCTTGCCACTCCTTTACCTGAGATTTTTCTTGCTGTCGAGTTCTTACAGGGTTTTTTATTTCAAGGTTTGGGTGAGCCGCCAGATATCCTGCTCCTCATCTCTAACCAAACTGTGATAAACTTTCGCTTTCATCGCTATTTATTCGTCTTGCCACTATAGATGCTGCTCTTGATAGTGATGATCGCCAGGTCTCGCAACTCCCACTTATCAAACTGTAGACGATATGTGCCACCCTCGCCTTTCACTACACACTGCGCCAGGCTGCTCTCCAGTGGTGCCACTTCCACGGAAAAACCTCCATTGTAGGGCTCCCAGATGGTACAACTGCACATCCTGCGGTTGCTCAGCTTCACTCCGGTCTGAGTGATCACTAGCTTTCCCTTCCAGGACTTCTCATCATCTTCGAAAACTTTCACCGCGAAGTGTGTACTCCGCTGCTTGTAGAAATCGTCACAGTCGACAGATCCACCGTAGCCAGCAAACGCCCCGCAAGTCGTGGTGGTGCTGTGCTCTTTGCTGTCCACGCTGATGCAAACCAGCTCGATGCTGGAGTCGTAGTCGCAACCCGTGATCACGTACTCTGGAGATTTGTCTCCAGAGCTTATCTCCATCGCTGGCAACAGCCGCACTGTCTTGCCATTGCTCTGGTGACGAACCCAGTAGCAAATCGACCACTCGGTGTCAGTCACAAAGCTCCCCTGTCCCGTGAGTTTTTCCCCGACGAGAAGCTTTCCCTTGACAATGATCCTCGCGTCCGGCATGCAGTAGACACCCCCAGTGAGAAGCTGTCCCTTGAGCCTCCACAGCCGCGTGCATATATGCTCGAAAGTTGGCCGCCGGCGAGGCTGTGAATCCCAGCAGTAGGCGATGGTGTCCTTGAGAGCTTGAGGACAGCGTTGCGGAAGCCTGGGTCTCAAGCCACGTCGAATCTCATCGAGCAAAGCCTTCTTGGTTAGGCCGAGAGGATATGGTGGCGTCCCGGTGAGGATCTCGGCAAACATCATCCCGTAGCTGTAAACGTCGACGCTTAAATCGTACTGGCTCTTCATCTCCCAGTCCCCCTCGAGCATCTCTGGAGCCATGTAGAGAACCGTTCCTTTCAAGTGGCTGTGATAATGGTTGCTTGAAAAGTTCATCTTGGAGAGCCCAAAATCCGCCACCTTTGCGACGATGTTGTGAGCCGATCCATCCTCAAACTTGCCGTCAAAGTTTACGAGGACGTTCCCCGGCTTGAGATCCCTGTGAATGATCTTCTTCTTGTGCACGAAATCCATTCCCTGTGCGATCTGGAGCATGATCTCCACGATCAGGATGATTGGAGCAGTGACGAGGCTTGGAATGAGCCGAGCGAGGCTTCCTTGCATGAGCTCCATGACGAGATAAGCTTTGTTATCTTTCTCCGACCAGCCGAGGATTTGGAGCACCGATGGATGGCACGGCCTGAGCTTCACCATGATCTCTCCCTGAAAAGAAACAAGGGAACAAAAAACCATCACCAGCTATAAGTCAAAGAATGGAAAGATTGGCATACCTCCCACGGATCTTGCGACCATAGCTCCTTTGAAAACTTCTTCACTGCCACTGTGTGACCAGCCCAAGTTGTCTGGAACACTAATCCAAACGAGCCTTGTCCCAGAGGCTTCGTATCGTCAAGCTCGAGCTCTGATGGATCAATCCAATCCATTGTACTTGCCGCCGATGGCGAGCCCGACGATCGCAGCATGTTGGTGGCCACTGAGGAGCCACCCCGAGCACTTCCCAAAATCTCTAGCAGTTTGGTCTTGTCCTCGCTAGCACTGATCCTCAGCCCACACCTCAGCGCCTTGGAATTCTCCCAGCTCGTCCTTCTCAACACCCCAATCCAATCCTTGGTCCCGGAAGAACAATCCCTGTCCTGGAGCAATGCCGCCATGACGAGGTCCACATGGATCGCCAAATCGTCGAGCAGCGCCTCGAAAACCACCACATTCTCGCGAGCCACGTACAGCCATGGCTTCTCTATCCAATCCGGCCCGGAATACTTGGATGCCACGCGCAGCACCGCGAGGAGCGCCTGATCGAGCTGCTGGAAGCACGATTGCTGCCTGGCGATGGTGGCCGGCGAGCAGCGCGCGGTCCAGAGATCAATGTGGAGGCGCACGTAGCCGCAAGCCGTGAGGAGGACGAAGATCTGGCCCTTGTTTACCTGTGCCACCATGGCTACCTCGGAAATATGATCGATCGTCGCGAGGAGAGCGTGGATGATGGATTCTTCCTCCATGCCCGCCAATCCCAGCGCCAATGCCGTGAAACTAGGGATTTCTTGGCTCCTCTGTGGAAGTCAACGGTACAGTCACCATGAACTTCCTTCGAAAACTAGGGTCAATTATTTGATTGAGATGAAATAATTTTTTAGGGTTCTATCATAGATTGATAGGGCGCTGGGTGGGAGCGATGGCGCTGCGCGATTTGGTGACTGGAGCTGGAGGATGCGTCGTCCCAGGCGAGGGCGCCTCGTCCTCTTCGAATCCTCTGGCCAATTTCGCCAGCTCCTTGCTGGGATCGCTGCCAAAAGCTCAGGTTCGTCGAATCGATATTCACTTCTACAAAGTTTAGGAAGAAAGAAGAGAATAGAGAGAGGAAATAGGCCACATTCTTGTATGTTTAGTTGGAGTGCTGTCCTCTAAAAAACCTTTCTTTTCAGGAAAGAGTACGTGAGCTTCCAACCATTCCA